GACAAGATCAATGCACAGCATTTTATTAAAACCGCAATGCTTGTTTTAGCAACATTATTTATTTATTACAGCCCATGACCGGTTAAGAGTTAATAAGATCTTCCAATAGAGTTTATATGTGGATGTTTCTGGTCCCAGTAAATCTCAGGTGACCTGAGGACAGTTCTGTTGTGAATTATCTGTCTTTTTAATGTTGCTGTATTAAAATAACACATTGCTATGGCTATTGTTAACATTAACTTTAATGATAATACAATAAAAACTGTAATACTGTGAAACATTATTACAATTTAAAAGAACCATGTTCTATTGTAAATTTTAAATGTATTTTTTTCCTGTGATGACAAAGCTACATTTTCTTATTATTATTATCATTTTTTGAATTGCTATTTTAAATTGTAGTAATGTTTCACAATTTTAAACATGAAACAAACCTTACAGACCCCAACCCTCTGAATAGCAGCATATAAAATATAATTTGTAAATAACTGGCTATACATTTTATTTAGATTTATATTTGTTTACCGGTATATATATTTATATAACTATACAGGTACGTTCTCTAACCATGTAAGACTTGTAAATTCTGGCCACTTCCATCTAAAATAAAACTATTTACAAATATCATTTGTTAATTAACTGCTATACATAATATTTGTTATACTGTATATAAAGTGTACATTCTCAAAAATCATAACTTGTAAACTCCAGACACATTATTTTCCATGCAAGTCTAAAATAAACGATTATAATTTACAAATATAAAATACAAATTAGATCATATTTTATAATAATATTTATAAACATTTGATTTGTTTTGATGTGGTAGCATATATAAGCTGAATTAAACTATTTGGGATGTTAAAATATGTTTTCAAAACATTTAATCTCATTTAAAAAAAAAAGTTTGTCTGTGGAAACTTTATGCTGCAATGAGTTATGTCATTATCTGGTTTTCAGCGTGGACCCAACACTGAAAGAGGCTGGCAGACTCCCGGGTCAAGCACCAGCACCATTTTGGAGGCATATTCAATTCCATGATGCCTTGAGCAAACATGTGTCATCTCCAGTATAGACTGATTGAGCCATAGCTCCAAGATAACATATTAATGTGCTGTACGGGACATCCCACATTCATGTAAACAGTGTTTTGACCAACAGAACTGACACACAACAACATTTGTTTCAGATTTACCTTGCAGCAGCAAGCAAACAGTATCAAGCTCCAGCGCTGGCTCCTAGTTAACCTCAAATACACATCACACAACCCGGTGCTGCAGCCTTCTCTACCCAGGGCAGGTGAAATCCCCACCGGTCACAATTACCCAGCAAAGCACCTTCATCAAACATCCAGTGCCTGGGAGCACGTCTGACGTGCCACAGCCCTAATTCACTCCCACTCCAAACTACACTGCATAGGGACCAAATAGCCATGAGCAAAAACATCTATCCATCCACGTCTCCCACATCTAACTTCGAAGGGAGGGAGTGGGATAATAGCGTTGTTTAGCCATTGCCATTTGGATTCAACTAGCAGGTGCTTTCGGCTTTTTCTAAAACCGTGGCAAATGTGAAATGTTTTATTCATGTTCTATGATAAAACTTTGCAATGTACTGTGTGTGGTGCGTATTGACAAGGTTACAAAATAAAGAGTTCTCCATCGCTCTTTTTCCACATTTCAGTGGCATAAATAAAAACCCTGAACAATGGTTATTAACAAAGACTGACTTATGTAATCCAAGTGTTACAAAATGTGTCCACTCTGCACACACTTACATGGTACTGCATTAATGTATCAACCTACCTATTATAAAGACAAATAAAGAAAAAAAATGGGAGAAAATGCCCCATGTCTGATAAAAACAGGAGAGAAACTAAGAAAGCAAGAGTGGGTGACAGTTCAAGAGTCCCTCTACTCGGAGTTGCCAGGGAAGGTAGCTTTAGTGAGTAAGAATAAAATGAATCTTGTTTATCAAAGGAGTGCATTTACACAATGCACTTGCCTCCCCGCAGACTCTAAAGAAAGGGTTTCACAGAAAGACAGTACATCAACTTAAACCCTCCATGTTTCAATGTTAAAGTCCACAATAGTACAACACAACAATTCTAGCTGTACTTAAAAGAATTCAAGTTCAATCGACAGCATTTTTTCGCAATATGTCGATTACCTCAGACATAATTTCACTCATCCCTTAGCTCAAAACATTTGTCTGCGTCTAGAGGGTTTAAAGCAAAAAACTAATATTTGTATTAAAGGTCTTACATTAAATAATATCCTCATAAGTGACTTAATGTAAACAAGGAAGTTATACATTACTTCCTTTCTTGATATCCTTACACAAACATTGCACAAAAGTTTTCATTGGCAACATAGTTTGAAGTTAGCTATAACTTTACACAGGTTAGTAGTAGGGGTGTAACGGTTCACAAAATTCACGGTTCGGTTCGATACGATACACTTGTGTCACAGTTCGGTTCGGTACGATTCGGTACGTTTCCGATACAGCAAAAAGAAAGAAATGCCAGAGAAATTTCCTTGATTTAATCTTTTTAATTATATTTTTATTAAAACTAACATCATAAAGTATGATATTTTTTAACTTTGAGCAATGATGGAGCTATACTTGACTTTTCTTAGGAGCTTATAAAACAAAACAGCTCCTTGGACAAAATTAAATGTAATATTGTAGTAGTTATAAACAAAGGTTTATTTTAGTTCAGATTAACATTTGAGGGCAGCAATTGTATTCATAATGTCAAAATAAAACCGACGTGATGTTACTTGAAAGCATTATAGCCTACTATTCCTGCCAAACTTCCATGGTTACAGTTAGTAGTGTTACTACAGTAAACCCATGGTGAATGTTGCTGATCTGTGGACACTGGATAGTTCATTCATGGCACAATGTTTCTTCCTGGTTTCCACGTCAGCGCTGTTTGATCCGTTAATAACGGAGAAATGCGAATGTTTCTCACTAGATCTTGCAGCGATGTTATTACTTCAGTGGCGAATTCAAATGCTTTCTTTACTGGATTTGGCTGTGTAGTAACAGTGCTGATGATTAAGATCGGCTCGCGCTGTATTTGTCCAAACTGATAAACGGTCCTTCAACCACACAATAACGAGTGGTTTCGTTCCGCTTACATTACATTTGCCATTTGATGTTGGGCAATGTTGTGGTCACGCACATTATGAGCGCGCTTGCCACGCGTGACGCGCCTTCATTTGAAATAACGAAATTTTGGTCGGCAGGAAAAATGGTCCAACGAACCGTTCGGTTAAAAAATGCGTACCGAAAACCGAACCGAAAGCCTCGTACCGAATACGTGTATCGTTACACCCCTAGTTAGTAGGTAATTCTTTCACAGTTGTCTCATGTAAACATATAATATTTATGTATTTTATGTCACTAATGGACATTATTTATTTTCTGTAGTAATCAGCATTATACATCAACTGTTGTTAGCTAAGCTTACTTTGTATTGAACCTCAGAACATTCTTTAAACTAATATAATCCTATACTTGAAGAGCGGTGTACCTCAGGTTTCGGTTTTAGGGCCATTATAATTATAATTTTTTAGTCTATTTCTCTAGTTTTTTTTTTTTTTTTTTGACAGGTGGGGATGGGTTAAGTCCGAACACTAATCAATTGGTAAATTAATGAGAATGATTTGAAGGAAGCAAGGGGAAAAAAACAAACAAACCAAGTACCAAAAACAAACAATCCAAACATTACCGATGGAAGATAGAAGGGAACTGCGTATTTCATCACGCCAGAGGATCCAATAATTAACATTCCCATTAATATTCCTTCCACAGAGCCTGGGTGGCTCTGAACGCTTCTGTGAAATGCAAATTGCTGTACACAGAGGCTTTAGAATGGGAACTGCGTGACTGCAGGGGAGGGCTGCCACTCTACCCCAATAGAGCTCAGACATTTTCAGGTACCTCATTGATGACAGGAGGGCATGAGAGACAGGAGGAAACTGGAACTTTGAGAAATATTCAACACAATTTTTCTGCATTATTTATCTAATCAAGTATAATTCAGTCAGCAAAAAAATATTAAGGACATCCATCCTTATTTTTGTCAATGGTTTGGAACAATCATTGGATTGACTTTCTGGAAAGGGACAAGGAGAAATACCTTTAAATAAATTGACCGTTGTGTTTCATAGTTTTCTTTGTTTTCCTTTGCTAATCAATTCATTGAAAAACAAAAAAAAGTGTATCTTCTATCTGACGACAACAATATCACTTTATGAGCTGCAAAACTCAAAAAGCAAGGTGTGCTATTAAAACCCAAAACTCCTGTTTACTGATGCACAGTGAGCATGATACTAGATGAATTCCATGTTTCACATTATTGTAAACAGAGTTCTGTTATGAAGACATCAGTGTGCATCCCGAATACAAACACACTGAGTTGAAACCAAATCAGGTGCATATTGACGTGTGCTTACAACAAATACAAGCAAATTATCAGCATCGTGACAAAAAATCCGGTCTGCTTCGGCAAAGGATCATTATCTGAAAAACAACTCCACAGCTCATAAAAGCTGCAAGCTAAAGGATCTTGTGCTCCAGAGCGAGTAATCAACAGGAGGAGGACAGGAAGTGTGTCTGGGGGAGAAAAGGATTGGTGAAAAGATGAGTTATGAGGTGTGTGTGTGTGTGTGTGTGTCTTGGTGTGTTTACAATTCCAGAGCTAAAAAGTGTGACTGTAGCGAAGATATTGATCAGAGCACAAACTCGTAATGATGGTAAAAAAGAACTAGGTTCGGCCGCAAGCCCAGTCTTTTGTGGTGCCTAAGGAGTCAACAAAATTTCAAATGGAGAAAACTTCAAAGAAGTACTAAATTGAGAACTGTAATGAAGTTAAAGGACAGCAACTTTTATTTTATTTCTTATCAAACTCTAAAAACACCTCTATATGAACCTTCTATGGGGTATTTACATTTTTGGTTTGGATCAACATACGGTTTAGTCATTCATACCTTGGGATCGGCAGTGAGAAGCTTGAAGGCTACGTACACCTGATTCTCCTTTACACCTCCACCCAGGTCCAGGAAGTTAGCAGGCTTTCCACCATGCAAGTCGATGATGTCACATGTTGCCATAGCAAGGCCAGCACCATTTACTGTGGATACAGATCATTGTTCAGACATTAAAAATGAAAATTGTATCATCATTTCCTCACCCTCATGTCGTTCCAAACCTGTACGACTTTCTATATTCAGTGGAACACAAAAGGAGAAATTCTTAAATAATGTGCCAGTCACTCTTTTGTACACAATTACAATGAATGGAGACCGGAGCTTTCATGCTTCAAAAAGCACATTCTGTAAATGCACAAACTTGCACACTATATTCCAAGTCTTCTGAAGCTATGTGATACATTTGCATTTTGAATAGATGGAAATGTAACTAGTTCTTACACTGATAACCAATGTGTTCAGTGAGTTCTATTATTCGGATAAGTGAGATTTATGAAAGAATCACAGGGACTATTTGTGAATTGGATCAATTGATTAATCGAAAAGACCAGACTCAAATAATGTGTCCATGATTCAGAAATTGCTAACTCCCTCTGTCAACCTTTTTAGTGAGCAACAATCTGTTCTTTATACAACACTAATCTATGGAGTCATATGAACCGTTTAACATTTCATAGCCCTAAAATCGACCTCATTATATTAAAAAGAATGTTCACTCCATTGCTAATTCTAATTATTAATGTAGTGAGAGAGAGAGAGAGAGAAGAGAGAGAGAGAGAGAGAGAGAAGAGAGAGAGAGAGAGAGAGAGAGAGAGAATAAGCGTATGTGAATCAGTCTGTGCGTCTCTCAACAGTGTTCGACAGCAGCCTTTCGACTAATAGCATAACTAAGTTTATCTGCTCCAAGAATAGCGCCGTTATTACTACGCTAGGGAGAAATGTCATGTAGCTTTTAAGTTGTTAAACTATTTTAGTGATACAATCGTAATAGCAGTGCTGACAACACGTTTCTGTGCGAGTGTGTGTCCGTACTGTGCGTTTGAGTGAGAGAGAGAGAGCGATAGGAAGAGAGTATGTTTCATGTATATAATAAAATGTAATTTTGTGGGGAAAAACACAGAAATAATTTGTCGTTTTTATCCTATTGTTTACTTTATTTATTTGCGTGGTTAGTGTCCTTGTGGGTTTTGGTTCTTTTGCTGTTGTAGGCTGAAAGGACCTTTGAAACAACTGAAATCGTTTGGTGAAGTGATATGGAACTGTAATGCGGTCAAGACCTGCCAGGAACTACTTTTCACTGAAAATAATTGCACACCTTAGAACGTTTTTCAACCAATCAGATTCAAGCATTCAACTGCCCCGCAGTATAACATTTAATAATATTCAATATAACACCAGAATATTCTGTTAAAAAATACTGTTCCATGGAAGAAAAAAGTCATAAAGGTTTTGAATGCGAGTAAATAATTACAGTACTTTAATTTGTCCTAATTTTTTGGTAAAGCTAATGGGCTTTAAGTTGCTTCCAAATCATGGACTCATGTTACGTATATACTACAGCCTGAGCCATACAGCACATTTACAAGAAAAGCACAGGCAAAAGCAAATAAAAAAGTAATTTGAGATCCCAACCCCATTGAAAACACAACTTAGGCTCTAAATCTGCTGCCCACTGCTTCCCAAGGAAAGCAAATTGTGTCTGGCTAAAAGTATACGGGGTGTCAAGAGTGGTTGTAGTATCTGTGTTAGCCGGCCTGGTGAGCCCTAACTCGTGCTTGGAGTTGAACGGCAGCCAACTGATTCAGCCATTTCCTGCTCATCTCACCTCTCCTGGCTTCACACATCTCCTCTTATTCTGTTCTTCAGTGCTGAGCTAACGTGCTGGCACAGGCTTTGACACTAGACTCAATAAAGTGAAATTCAGCTGAACAGCTGTCGCTTTGCCAGTTTACAAAGCTTTTAAGGTGCGAACTAACTGCGAGTAAATTGTGCGTGAGTGTGTTTGTGTCTACACGACAAGGTCAGTTAGAGTCACTTCTGCGCTCGTCTTGTCTATACAGCTCTTTCTTGGTGCTTTACTCTGAGAGCGGCGTGATTTATAATGAGGGACCACTCAAATGTGTAGACTAACAATCATCTTGGTTGAGTCGTTTTCCGGAAGATTCCTGCTAATTAGAGCCCATCGGTTCAGGCAGGTCCCTTATGGAGCTGTTAGAGAACTGCAGGAGATGATGACTGGATCGGTGCCCATTTGGTAACACCTTCAACAAAATCCTGTTCTCAAGACTAAAATAAAAGCGTTTGAAACTACTAAGAAGAGCATGTCTAAAGCTGGATTTGAAATATCCCTTGAGATATGAGCGTGATGTGGAACCGGTTTCTGAAACCTTTGAAATTGGAATGTTTTGAAGAAGTTCATCTTATATCGTTTTATAATAACAAGCTAATGTATATAGGAAACATTAAAACAAACCAAAACAAGCTATGTTTCCGTCCAGTCCGATGTACTTGAGGTCATATTTGGCCGCCTCGGTCTCCGTGGGGTCGCTCTCCGCTGTGTCGTCCATGGCGAACACGGCTTTCTGTCTGAACTCAGCGTTGTCGTCAAAGTTGATTTTAGCATCGAAGCAAACGACTGTGGACAGACAGCAGAATTCAGTTAATCATATACTGGCATATTTATATTTTACAGTTAGTCAAGTTTCAGATCTGTTCAATTTGTTCAATGTGCTACCCTGATTATGTGGGAATATAGCACAAAGATATCTTATCACGTTTTCTAAGTAACTGTGAGCGCTCTCCTGAATAATAATAATAAACTCAAGAAATTGATAAAGCAAAGAGGACCAAGTAGTCGCATCAAGGTGATGCATCTTTCCAATGGCTTTTCAAAGCATCTGTTATTCTTCAAATATGGGAAGTGCATGTGGCAAATTGGCAATGGCAGGTCCAAATCTAATAATTCACACTGAGTGAAAGGGAGCTGCATACATGTAAACACAGCCATATAGATCTAATGACAAACGCGCATTATTACGACACGATCTTCACTGACATCATATATACATCTATATATCTCACTTTATACAGCAGGACTATCTTATTCAACAAACACAGATGCTGTATAAGAAAATTAGCTTGGGGAGTTTTTTTGCGACTGTCGTCGCTGTGTGTGACCAGACCTAGCAACTCTCTCATTTGTAGTGTTTTGCAGTTTCTCGCTGTCTCCAGAGTCTGCAAGGACCCAGAACTCACTAACAAAGATAATCTCTGTAGGGAAGTACACTGGGTTCACTGACCTCCTATCAAACTCAACTGTACACTGTTACCAGGAGATTTGTGTTACTTACTTTTGTAGAGAACTGAGTCAAGCCAGCCAGACAGTAACAAAGAACTAGATCAGTTTCACCATCACACAAGCTGACAAAACAGTGTCACAGCTGTTTTTTAATGAAAGCATGCAGCTTGACGATATGTTTGAAAGTACTTTAAGTAAGGGAGACAGACTTTTTTTGTCACTTTTTGACAAATAAAAAAATTAAAAAGAGAACAAACAATGCATCTTAAGACAGCCAAAGCAATTTGTAGACTTTTATTTGGAGGTTGCTGGAAAAATGTCAGTGTCAGAGTGGTGTTTCCTAAAAAGATCTATTATGATTTTAGAGAGAAAACTAACAAACTTACATTAGCAAAAAAAGGAATGCTTGAAAGACACATACACACAACCAGAAATACAAAGACTAAAGAACAATAGAGAAATGTGTAAAAAAAAAAATATATATATATATATAAAAAAATAGTAACACTTTACAATAAGTTGTTATTTGAAAACATTAGTTAATGCATTGGCTAACATGAATTAATAATGAGCACTATATATTAACGCATTTATTAATCTTTGTTAATGCAAGATAATAAACATAATTGTTCATTGTTTGTTCATGTTAGTTCACAGTGCATTAACTAATGTTAACGAATACAACTTGATTTCAATAATGTCATAAAGTAATGTTAAAATTAACATTAACTAAGATGAATAAATACTGAAAAGAAAAGAAAAGAAAATGAAAGAAGGACAGGAAAGGAAAGGAAAGGAAAGGAAAGGACAGGACAGGACAGGACAGGACAGGAAAGGAAAGGAAAGGAAAGGAAAGGAAAGGAAAGGAAAGGAAAGGAAAGGAAAGGAAAGGAAAGGAAAGGAAAGGAAAGGAAAGGAAAGGAAAGGAAAGGAAAGGAAAGGAAAAGGAAAAGGAAAAGGAAAAGGAAAACAAAACAAAAAGAAAAAGAAAAATGAAAAGGAAAGAAAACAAAACAAAAGGAAAAGGAAAAGAAAAGAAAAGAAAAGAAAATGAAAGAAGGACAGGAAAGGAAAGGAAAGGAAAGGAAAGGAAATGAAAAGGAAAACAAAACAAAAAGAAAAAGGAAAGAAAACGAAACAAAAGGAAAAGAAAAGGAAAAGAAAAGAAAAGAAAAAAGGGAAAAGAAAAAGTACAGAAAAAGTGGCAGCACTTTTGTGACGGCCCCTATGAGGACTAAATCATTTTGCCATTATGGTGTAGGGCCGGGATGATTTCTCTCCCCTTCTTTAATTTGACAGGCTAATACTGCAGGCATTACCCTCTCTGGACCTACTGTATGTAATTTCATACCAATAAACGTTACAACATCCTACATCATTTCCTAACAGGTACCTATAAAAACAAAACAAAAACAAAAAAACAAGTGGAAATGGTATTGGAAGTAGCATTTGGTCATATTAAGAACATATTTGTGCCAGGGTTACGTTGGAGAAGCCCTGTAAAGTTTTGCTGAGGCAGCCCTCTACATATCCATGTGTTTAATATAACCATTAGAATGAAATGACATTTATCCTTGGAAGCTGCAAGGTCTTATTTGGATCTTTACAGGAGCTCTTCTGCAATCTGTGAGCAAGCGTTTCTGTCTGTCATTCATGCGTGACTACCCACCCACACACACACACACAAGCGCGCCTTACCTTGTCCCTCAGGTGTTTCTCCGAGTGGATTGACTTCGACTTGAGTGGCGTCGACTTTGAGGAACAGATCATAGAGTCGTTTAATCTGATCTGCAGCCTGTGACAGAACCACAGAGAGAACTAATTACCCCAGATGCACATTTGCAGAAGAGCTCTGAGAGCTTATATAAGCCTTGAAATCTCTCAAGCGAAAAAACAACAACAAAACAAACATGTATATATTCCTTCTTTGGGTCATTTACTGTACACTGTCCAATAATGAGGATGCATCTTTCACCGAACCCTCACTCTGCTGGTCAGAACGTATACTCTGGGTCACTGCCAAGACAATGAGAAGTTGCCTTGGAAAACTTCAAATGTGACAGAAATTGATTTGGAGTCGGTAGAGCCAGCAGGGAGTTGAGTCGCTGTGGCAGTTAAAGCGTCCCTGCTGAGAGACACGCCAATGTCCAGCGGCTCTCTCCAATTCTCCAGCGGCTAAGTAAATGAGGCTTATGACAATTGGGAACATTTGAAAATTGGCTATTGAGATGCCAGATTTTGCTAGCTGTATGAGATTCTGTAATACTTTTAATTCTGTACTTCTGTAACATTTTGTTGATGATTTCGTATTTTCTGCTTTCGTAACAATTTCACTCTACAATTGATTGTTTCCTCATTTTTGTAACTCTTCCGTAAATTCTGTAACTTTCCGTACTTTTATAACACTTTCATGAAACGTTTCATAATATTTTAGCATTCTGTCATTTTGTGACACTTTCATAGATGATATTTCGTCCTTTAGTAAAAATTATTTTGATTTTGCAATGCTTTCGTATTTAATATGTTTGTGATACAACATAATATTTCATACTTTTGTAACATTTTGTGAAAGATTTTAAAACACTCTTGCAAAACTTTCATAGATTTCTTAATATTTCATGTCTTAGTAACACTGTCATGGACGATTTTTAAGTACTTTTGCATTTCGTCTTTTTGTTGCAATTTTCATGGATTTCTTAATACTTTAATATTTTATAATATCTCATACTTTTTGCAACACTATCAAGAAGCATTTCATAATGCTTTTATACTCTCTTTGTAACATACATTTTCATATTTTGACTTTCTGTAACAATTTTGTAATGTTGCAGTACTTTTGTAATTCAAATACTTCCATAGATTTTGCAATATTTCATACTTTTGAAACAATTTAGTTAAAATTGTTTAAAAGTTTTAATATGCTGTACTCTTGCAAATCGTTTATTCCAAAACATCAGCTTAATTTTTTCATCCTTTTACAGTGGATTCCATATTAATATTTCATTTGTAACACTATCAGGGAAGACTCCATAATACAATGAAAATCAATTTTGTTGATTCATGTTTTTAATACTTCTGTAGATTTCGTAATATGTTATATGATTTTCAATACACTTTCATACAAATCAAATTTTAATATTTTGAAAGATTCTGCAATACTTTCGTATTTCTTTCGTTTGGTATGCTTCCATAGATTTTGTAAAATGTCATACTTTTGTAAGACTTTTATAGAAAATTTGACGATTTATAGTTTGTAACATACAATTTTTATATTTTGCCTTTTTGTCGAATTTGCATTACTTTTGTAAATAACATTAATAGATTTTCCAAAATATATTTTTAGCAATACTTTTGTCCAAATCGGCTTTCATGGTCCTAATCACAGCAAACTCCTAAATTCCCCAAAATGTAAAGAGTAATAGTTAAACAATATTACATGTAAAGTGTATTTAAATCTATCTACAGTTATCTGTTTATTCTTTTCATTAATAAAAGCAGCACCCGATCATTCCACAACAGCTGATGTTTGAAGAGAGGTTAAGACAGGAAAGATAACCAACTGCTTATCGCTCTACACTTTGCCATCTCATGTGCTTTCTTAAAGCACGTCATCCGAACAAATTCTTCTTTCAAAGCATTTAAGAGCTGAAATGACATCTCCCTTTCCCACAGCCAAAGGAAGCTCTTTTGATAATGAGCGCATTCTGACAGAAGACACTGTAGCGCTGCTCTCATCAGCACGCACAGGCGAGCGCCGGCTCTTTGTCATATCACTGCACTTCAAAGTGGAGAAGCCAAGTCAACGGTATGCCGCATCCCAAACATTCTAATTAGCATAGACTCAAATGGATGCTCGCAAAACACGCGCAGTAAAGGGGCGACTTTACGAGAGCCAAACTGACAAGCTAGACATTTAGCAGTAATTTCCATACCGCCAACACTCCGAATGTCTATGCGGACAGAAATATACGCTTGTATACACAATTATGACATGAACTAAAGCAGATTCCTGTAAAGTGCTTAGCGTGAATGGACCTGTGCAGTTGGAAAACACTGATTCTTTACAATCTTTAGCTGCCAAATTTTGAAGGGAGGCGAGGTTCATTTAAAAAATGTGCCCATACAAGGTTAAACAGATGTCCCCATACTTTTTGTCAACACTGTCAAAAAGTTATGTAAACAAAACAAAATATATGATCATGAAAGTCGTATTTCCATATTTCACCTGCTATCAGTTCAACAAAGTCTCACCATGGCTCTGGTGGGTTTTATATAAAAAATATATATATATATTAAAAATGTAATTAAAAATAAATGAAATATTTTAGAATTACACAAATTATACATTTATGTACTGTATATATGTATGTTTGTATACAGTCATGGTCAGAATGATTGGCACCCTTGGTAAATATGATCAAAGATGGCTGTGCAAATACATTGTTTATCCTTTTGATCTTTTTTTTTTTTTTTTTATCACAAAAATTGTACCTTTCATTCAAGTAAAACAATTGAAAGTGTGTGTATGTGAGGAGGGGGAGGGGGGATTTACCCAAAGAATATAGTTCTGATGGGCAGCAAAAGATTGTCGAGCTTCACAAAATAGAAAGTGGCTGTAAGAAAAAATAGTGAAGCATTGAAAATCCCCATTTTGACCATCAGGGCAAAAATTAAGAAGTTCCAATCAACTAAAGATGTTACGAATCTGCCTGGTAGAGGAGGACATGCGTCTATGTTGTCTTAATGCACAGCGTGGAGGACACTTTGAGTGTCCAAGGCTTTTCAAGGATCACAACTGGAGAATTGCAGAAATTAGTTGAATGGCTTCTATGGTCAGATAAAACAAAAAGAGAGCTTTTTGGCAGCAAACCCACCAGATGGTTTGGTGCAAACCCCATGCCCACGGTTAAAAATACTGCTGGATCTGTGAAATTGTGGGCCCATTTTTCTGCTGGAGGTCCTTGACACCTTGTTCAGATACATGGCATTACGGATTCTATAAAATGCCAACAGATAATAAAAATCTAAACATCTGCCTCTGCTAGAAATCTTATAATGGGCTGTAGTTAGATCTTACATCAGACAATGATCAAAAACAAACATTAAAATCAACATAAAAAAAAATGGGTCATGGCTGTCCCAGTTCCCTGTCCTGAACCCTATAGAAAACTGAAGAGGAGAGTGTATCAACATGGACTTGCGAATTTTAAGGATCTGGAGATCTCTTTTCAGGTAGTCAAAAGGAGGTTGCAAAAAAGTATTGAATAAAAGGGTGCCATTAATTGTGGCCAACGTGTATTGGAGAAAAACATTTATTTCAAAAAAAGATTGAAGATTGAAGAGATTTCCCCCCCATTTTCAAATCGTCTACTTCAATGAAAGATTCTTGTGAATTTTTGGAATAAAAGATCAAAAGGATTAACAATGCAGATTTATTTTCCCTGGCTTCTTTGTTCATACTTACCAAGGGTGCCAATAATTCTGACCATGACTATATGTGTGTATGTGTATTATATAAATAAATAAATACATACATAAATTATAACAGATTGACCTGAAAATCTGTGTTAAACCATCCTGCAATCTTAGTTCGTTCATTCAAGCGGATGCAAGATTCATCAATATATTTGCCTTTATTTTTCTTTCTGAAAAGTGAAAATATGGAAGACCATACAGAATCTACTGTGCTAGAGTCACTCTGAGAGGCCTGAGGGTAAATGTCTTTAAATCTTGGAGATTTCAACTTATCGTTGCCGCAAATCTGGGCCTTTTTTATAAGTGGCGGTTTATGTGAGCGATGTAACGGTACAAATTGTTGATGACCGGTGATTTCTGCTCAGGCCTAAACACGTATAAGTAATGTTTAATGACTGTATTGGCAGAGACATCATGTCCAGTACTCTCGCTTTTTTTCCACATGACTGAAATGGAGACATAGTGGATGGGGGGAAGGTGAGGAGAGGTGAGGTGAAGTGAGGGCCACTGTGCTTCTGTTCCGACACACACTCTAATGGCACAATCTCTTCGGCAGCGATTCAGGCCAAACCCATTACCTGTCTCTCCAATGGTCCTTTGAATCCCAAATTAGCTGCCATACGTAGAGCCTGGTCGTCTCGGACCCCTTCGAATATATCTATGACTTCCTGAGGCAAGAGATGGGAGAGAGAAGGCAAGAGGAAAACCAACCATCAGCTATAATTTGACACAAAGAGGATGTTCGTATTAAAATAAAGAGAGCTGCAATTAAGCGCTGGCATGCAGCCAACCTCAAACGAGAAAAAGACGAGAGCTGGAGAACAATGGCTTACAATGGCTTTCCAATTATAAGGCCATCTCTAAAAGATCACTCATACACAGAGATAGACACACAAAAGAAAGATAACGCATAAGACCAGATGTCACTAAGAGCTACAAGAATGAGACACAGCTTTTACATGTCTTAATGAGGAAGACGTCCATTAAAGGGGACATATCGTACATCTTTTTTTATCATATTATTTTTATTTGTGGTTTACTTATAAGGGTAGGCATGTTTTTAGGCAAGTATCCTCTCTCTGACCCTTAGAAATAAACCCTTTGTTTTTTTGCAGCTTTGCATTTAAGACTTGTGTGTAAACACAAGGGTGAGCATCCTTTTTGACAAAATAATTTCCATGACATTTTGATGGCTTTAGTTTTGTGATACTTCTACAGATTTTGTCACATCTCATACTTTGTAACACTTTCGTGAGTTTTTAAACCATTTATATGCCATATGTCCACAAAAAGCTTTATATTTTTACACTTTTGAAACCTTCAGTTTTGAAGATTTTATTATACTTTCATATTTCCTACATTTATAATAAGTCCATATATTTTTAAATATTTCTAACTTTGGTAACACTTTCATGAATCATTTCATAATGCTTTCATACAAAAATTTTTATATTTTGATTTTATGTAACAGTTTTGTAGATTTTGTACTACTTTTGTATTTCATACAATTGTAATACTTTTTTTGTCAGGGAATTTAGTACTCTTGCAAAACATTTGCAGAATTTACATTTCATCCATTTTTCATAGATGTCACAATATTTCATACTTTTGTAAGACTTTCATGGTAGATTTCATAATACATTTTAATACATAAATATCTTTATAGAGATAAACTAAATTTGTAAGTGTATTGTATTAACAAAAAAAGTGTTTTGTACAAAAGTAAAAAAAAAAGTGTCAAAAACAACTTAAATGCAGCTTAGTGAAGGATTTGGCTTTATCAGATATACATATACATATATACATAACATTCTTCTAATTCTATATTTTGTTTCTATAAATAGATTTATGTGGCTTTTTTCTATAAGGAAGTTTAGTTCGAAACATCAAGAAGAAAATACACCCCTTTAGCACAAAATCTCAAAGAAACTCAACTCCTACACCCTTGAAATCCGTTTCAGTCAGATATAAGTGAGATACCTTGAAGATGAGCTCTGGTGTGGTTGCAGCCACTTCCTCTATGTCCACACCACCCTGAGGGCTTCCCACCATCACTGGTCCATTACAGGAGCGGTCCATCAGGATGGCGAAATATGTTTCCCTGGAGATATCCAGAGCTTCTGCAACCATCACCTGCTCAGCACAAACACATCCACCAGGTGAGACGGCGATTCATCATTGTGTGCTATCTATTCATTATGGTGTATCAACAGACACTGGTTTTTTGAAGCAGGGCACAAGTTTACTGGCTGCAGGCCACTGCTGCTACCTCTAATACAAGATAATCAGCCATCATTAAACTCAATGAGAGATGGCAAGTGGATAAGGAGAGAACCACCAATAACAGGGTTGAAATGACAACTAATAAAAATGGAGGAGTGATGGGAAGGAAGTGACACAAAAGAGGATGAGGGAAGGATGGATGAAGAAAAGCAAGGGAAGACAGAGGTGTGGTGTAGGTGTTCGTAAGTTTGAGTTTCGCCCGCAACACAGTACAATCTTATTTCCCCATGGAAACATGCTTTCTCACCATTAGGTTTCTGTCGCCTCTACACTGTCAAATAAAAGGCGCAAAGGCTAAAAACAAAACAAAACAACAATAAAAATAATTGATTAAATACATTTAAGACACAGAATACAAGTTTTGCCGCTAGAGGTCGCTTATTCAAAACAATAACAATTAGCGAATGCTAATGAGAGAAACCTGCACAACACACCGGCCTCGAGTGGTGAGAGAGAACCCGGCCTGGGACATTTTACGTTGCTGTATTTATTATGCTTATATGTTGTAGTTGTACGCTGCTGCTTCTTTCATTATGTTGTTTATGTCTATATTTAACGTTTGCTGGTTCCCGCCTCCTTTCCTGAACCTGAAATTTGTTACATTTGATCACTTAAATTCACATCATTTGATCTCATTCTAATGAAATAGCCACAAGTGCTGAATAACTACTCATACAGGTCACTTTATTTGACAAATTAAAATTGTGGGGTAACAGCGCTTTTTTACTTACTACTCAATACATTTGAGTGTGTTGAAAGTTGTTATAACGTTACTCTGTGCATTCGCTCGGTGGCTGGTATGACACACTTAAGCTAGATCGATATTAGAATATTATTAATAAAAGCTGGATAACTTGTGTTGCTAAATGGCATGTAGTTAATTTTAAAATATACTGTATGGCAAGGAAAACGCTGTATCACTGTTACTTTTAGGCATGGTACAAACATGTTGCTCGTGGTAAATCAAGAAAAGAGAGTTGAGCTTTATAACAATGATTCATTTTCTGTCGATAAAGGTATCCAAACAGCTCACCTGTCTAATAAAACGCATAATATATTAAAAGGACTTTGGTGTTTCCATGGTTTTTACAGAAGTAAAACCAGAAATCGAGGGTAACACGGATGTGACGCCATTGACAGGCGACACAATGACAACGGGCTGTTACACTGGTTAAAACTGTGAATTTCTCTGGATTTAAACATCGTTGGAAACATTCGGTAGCCTATAATGCAAGTACACAATTGAACAAAATATTTAAAACTATGCTAGTGGTTTTTGGATATTTTAATGCAAAAATCTTACATATTGTGCCTTTAAATTACTAAGCAAGAACTCTACTGAGCATGTGTTGAAAGTGTCATAACTCTTACTTGCGACTAAAAAAAAAAAAAAAAAAAAAAGAAGAAGTAGCGTATTACATTTGTCCCAGTTTACCCTACATTCCAATCTCCAGCACCTATGTCCATTTTTATCCTTTTCAGCTTGAGAAGGAGGCAACAAGAGGCAAACGTTAGCATCTCTGTTCATTCTATTTCCAACATCATCCTTCCATCTATTTTATCCTTTACTCTATTTCTATGCTTCTCAGTCTATTACAGCAGAAAAGACAGAGAAGGCCAACAAGACCTGAGTGAAACACGGCACATTGACGGCATTCCTCTCTGAGACTGACAACACAATGACATCCTTTTAACACAACTAATATTCAAACTCTCATCCATTTTCAAACCCCTATAGGGCTGAGAGCTATAGAGGGGAAAAAAAACTCTATTTAATACATATTTTAATATTTATGTATTTATTTCAACCAAAATGGTATTTGAAAGAAGTTCTGTTTTCTATTTTAATATTTTTTAAAATGCTATTTATTCCTGTGATGAAAAAGCTGAATTTTCAGCATCATTACTCCAGTCTTCAGTGTCACATGATCCTTCAGAAATCATTCTAAAATGCCAATTTGCTGCTCAAGAAACATTTCTTATTTTTGAAACATCTTATTCTATTTTATTCCCCCAGGAATATTTGTGTTGGGGGATGTCTAATGTTCAAAACAACAGCATTTATCTGAAATTGAAAACTTTTGAACGGTAGCATAATACATTGTACTTTGTTTATGTACTGTATATACTAGCCTTTTTGATATTCGCAATGTGTAATTGCATTTCACTAGCAAACTTTTCACTCATATATTGCTGCGATTAAGTATAACAACAACTTCTGAAGGCTTAGAGAAGGGCACCAATTTTACAAAACATATTTTCTTCTCAATAAACCGATACTGAATTCATGAGGAAAACCTCATTATACAATAACGCATCCATGTGAGAAGGAAACCAGAGGGCTCTTGAATAGCAAATGTGACACGCTCTCAAATGCAGTGAGAGAAGTTTGTGGGGGGATGCCGCACGCTCGAGCTGGCATTTTCAAAGCATTTATTTAGTTTTTGTTTGTATGCCACCTCTGTTCCTCCTCACCACCTCCCTTATGATTCCTCCTCACCACCTCCCTTATGAATCTGTCCTACTCTTTCAGCCGTGCACTTCCACCCCCCATGGCTGTTTCAGGAAAATGATAAAAATGTGATGGCGTCCTTATGCAGAAAGTTTTTTGGCGGTCGCGTGAGAGAGGTTGGCGGGAGTAAAAGCGAGTGATGATGGGGAGCTCTAAGTTGTGTTTAAAGAAGAGAGGACAAACACATGCTAAGCGCAGGAAGCCATCATTACCTCCTGAGGGAGAGGGAGATAAACAGTGATAAACATACGGGGTGGTTGTAGGAGAACGCCATCTGTGTGGGTGTCAGGCATAGAGAGAAGCAGAGAAAGAGGGAAGAAAATGATATTTCTGCTAGTTAGTGACGCATGGAAATGCCTGTTTACCAACATTCCCTGCACACCGAGATCTGACTCAAATGGTTTATTCATCTCAATGACCTATGACACCAAACCTAAGCTAATTGTAAAAGAAGGTTTCTTAAAAATAGAGCATATTTAAATGGAACAGGATGATACAGCTTTGTCCTGAAGCCAAGAAGTCAAGGAGAGTAGAGAGAGAGAGAGAGAGAGAAAGAGAGAGAGAATTTCACTTCCAAGTCCAAAAGCGATTATTTATTCAGTGGAAACAACGTTAAAAAGAAGAAATTATGCCTGAGATAAACAAGGTGCTCTCCTCCGTACCGTTTTTACTTTCACTCCTTCCTTAGGGGTCTGTTTGGTGGTCAGATTGAAGCCGAGCATCTTACCAGCCAACTCTCCAACAACAGCAGGACTGAAACAGAGATATGCTTATCGTTTTAATTTACTACAGTACGACTGTTTCACGCAGCTTTCAAATGACAAATACTTCTAATATATGTATCTGTAAGCATTAGTGTTGCAACATAATTCATAGCACGCATAACATCAAATAATCGCAATAAGCTTTGTGCTTAGTTGCTTTTGATAGGAAACAAACTCTTTCAAATTATGTCAATTTTATAATGAAATTCAAACAATATGGTTTTGCCGATCTTTAATGTGGCATGACAGATCGATGTAGAACGTGAATCAATCATCTCTTCCCATGTATACTAGTTATAGCACAAAATAAACATGAATGAACATCAGAAGGTACGTTGAAAGATAAAGTATAACTTACTGAAATGTTTCATGCCTCATGTAAACGCTGAGATTTTTTTTTTATGTTTCGAACTTGGGGAGCATTTTGCTAAATATATGCACCATTAAATATTCACTATATTTTTACTTAACCCATTGTCTTCATGACTTAATGCATGTTTGAACAAATGTCATTAAAGTCATTACAGGCACCGTGTAAAAGTGAAGTTAATTATAATTATATCATTAAAAAAGTTTATATAAATTTTTAAATATTATATACAACTTAGTTTTTACTTGAGTGTTCATTATTAAAAACATGATTAATTGATTATTACATAAACTATTTTTGGTTTTCATGCTTAAAACTTTAATTTTGGTTTCAGTGTTTCGGTAAAAAGAAAAAAAATTGTTGCATCATTAATAAATATTACTGTTTTCTAAGAATATTTCTCACTGTTTGGGGGGGGGGGACAAAAAAGTTTATTTATTATGGCTCTCACAAAAACAAAGATTGGACTTCATATACTGTACAAAATAAACAATCACTTTTTGTAGAGAGTACATTTGAACCTTTTTTAGAATAGCATTATTAATAATAGAATGCTATTAATTTATACATCAAAACTAAATTTTTTATAGTGTGAATATGTATTTTTAATTACACGTCATTTGAACAACCAGTCAGTAACAGACTGATGTTAGTCTCTCAAACCTAAAATATACATCACACAAACTAATCTTGATTAATTTTGAATCAGAAATGACTTGCGGTTCAGTGAGGGAGTCACTCAGAACTTTGATTTGATCACTCAGAAGTTTGATTCAAGCTGCTGATTCATAAACAATCTTGAATGTTCAGTGAATCTTTTTCACTCACGGATCTAATTTTCACAGATCAGACATTGCAGCTGAGCTCACGCTGTGTTCATTGTTGCGTACAGTACTCTAGCAAGATGATATTGGATGAAACTGCATGTGGACGCATGTTTTCCAGACTATTTTATATTTCATATATCTGTCTCAAGGCATTCTGATACCGTTGTCCTATCTCTCTCCTCATAAATTTCTGTCATCTTTTTAGTGTACTACTACTAATAACAATGATACAGGCCAAAAAAAAAGAAAAAAGTTTCAGTTGTTTAAGAAACACATACTAGCAAACTCGGGACGATTTCTCAGGGACACAGAAAGCGATGTGCTCATTTGCTAGATAAAACAAATCAGGCAGCGTTTCAGAGCGTTTCCTCTGGACGATTCGCTTCATCCCAAATGCAGAAGTACACTATGTGACAGTGATACACGACGCAGGCATTCAGTCATAAATCAGTCCCTACTTGAGGAAAACTCGTGGCTTTCTGGTAAAGTTTTAAGAGATTGCCATATTTCACATGTCTCCTTCATTCTCAAGGGTTTTTCACAACATTCTTATAGTTTCTATCACACTTATAATTTGCTCAGCTGAGGAATCCATCATTCCACATTACAACGGAGTTTTAAGAACATCACAAATGCTGAGAGCAGCGTGATATTCTCCGCTATTTTCTTGGTGAGAAATACAGGATGTCAAGCAATGGCATGAGTTTGAGAGGAATGAAAGACTGGAAAGCAGGTCTATTCTTTCTCAGAAAATGGGTCTGGGCAGGTACTCACTCTTTTGTTAAATGCACCCCTCCTTTCAGGCCGCTGTCGAACAATCCTTTGCCTCTTCCTCCAGCTAAAATCTGAGCTTTCAGGACAATCTCCTTCGCTTCTAAAGTATCAAAAGGGATAAAAAGGGTTAGAGCTCCAAAATGCCAAGAAAAAAAACTTGCCCCGGACACACTGTGGTGCTTATGCGGGTGACGCAGGTTCAAATCCCGCATGCAACAGTCCCATTTCCCCTTTATGTTTTATGGTATCTACTCATACCACAACACATAATCTCAGCAAACATAAAGATAAACAAGCGAGCAAAAAAGATATGAGATCGGAAGAGGTGTTTTCAGATGTAATTTGATTTGAAATATTATGATGATCTCCACAGGCATGTTTTGATGATGCGTCTTCCAGAGCGGTTAGCAATTTTGTTATTATTTCTTTCATCCCGGTAACATCACTGAGACGGAAGCACACGGATGAGGAAATAATAGCTTGTCATGAGACAAACATTTGATCAATATTGTGGCATATGAATCATTTTATACAATTTTGTGAAAAGGACCATATACTGTTGAGCGACAGCAGAGTGACTGAGATTAAAAGGACCTCAGAGAATTTTCTTTTTCTCAAGGTGAGCGATTTATTTATTGTGTTCTATAATCCACATATTTGACTTACTTTTTCCAAAGGTAAGCTGGAAAAAACAAAGTAAAATAATATACCCAGAACAAATCTGCAATATTTATTAACTAAAAACAAATAAATAAATGAATATTTAAATAATGAAATAATTATTTACTTATTTCTAGTATTTAAATAATTATTAAACAAATAGATAAATTATGCATTTCTATTTTATTTACATTTTACTTAAGTTTTTCTACAGTAAAATTTCATATTTCATTCAATGTGTTACTTACAATTTGCAATTTCTGAGTGAAAATTGTTTCAACACCAAATACTTTTCAGTGTAGTAATTCAACATTAATACAACAACAATCAATAAACAACCAACAAAAGTAAGCAAACAAAAAAAGTGTACTGTATGTTCGGGAATAAATTGTCAAAATAGTTTTTCTAGTGTCAGAAAACGTATAAGCTTCTCTAGTGTCAAACTTATAAGCAAACATTTTTGCAAGTTTGCGATTTAGGGTGAGGAGGAGGTTTAAATCTTGTCACATTCCCACAGCATCCAGATAGACTCATCACCTCAGCTCAGACAAAAAGAAAAAGGAAGGGAGACAATTTTGAAAAACCAGAGGAATAGATATTTGACAGGTGCAGTAAACCAATAGGGGCACCTGCAAGATGAAAAAGTTGAGAGCTCTGTGAAAGTAAAGTTTATTATGAATATACTTTAATTCAGCCTTGAAAAAGTATCGATAACAGTAGTTCAGTCAGTGTAATTAGAAGTATTTTATTTTGATGGTCCCCTTTAGACATTCTGTGTACTACTGTAAGTAACTTTGCTCCTATGTATATGTCAACTACTATCTTTAAGGTGATGATACACAGGGCAACTTTTTGAGCAATGTTGCTGGGCAATCTTGCCGAGCGATTGTTGCTTGGGCACTTTCCCATTGAAAATGGGCAATACGTTTCTATCTGGATAATTTAGATCGGTCGTGGGCCCTGTGTCTCAACTGGTTCCCCGTTGACGGCAACATTGCCCAGCAACATTGCTCAAAATGTGGCCCTGTGTATCATCACCTTTAGAGTATTGATTCTGAGTCAATAATTGAGTCTGATTAATATCTGCTAACACATTATTTTGATGCTCCCCCAACAGACATTCTACTGACTATAAGTAACTTTGCAAGTATAGGTCATCTTATTCTACTAACCTTAAACCTGTCCCTAAAAATCTACTAATACTCTAATGAGAGTTAGTTGACATTTAGGTGCAACGTATAGTCAAATAAAGTATAGACGATTATTGTACCTGCATTTTTGTGCATATTCAATTATCAAAACATTAACTTGCTAAACTCAATAACCTTCCTTGGCTTGAGCAGAAGACTATAGTTACACTTTAGATTAGGTGTATTTAACAACTATGTATACTTACATCAGACCAAATCTTAGTTACAATGTACTTATTGTATTAATGTTATATTGCAAAACCCTTTTGCTGATATTGAAGTGGGATACGGGAAGGTTAGGGACAGGTTTGGTGCTATTTTTAGGTTTGAGGGTTGGTTAAGGTGTAAGGAAAGGGTCAACAGTGTAATTGTTGCCTACAGCTGTAATTTCATGCAGGTATTTTTACAATACAAGCAGCACCATGTAAAAGAAAAGTATGTAAAAAATAAGTGCATTGTATCAAATAATGGTAGCACTTTATTTTACAGTCCTGTTCCCCATCATGTAAATGCTATGTACTAATTATAGTAATTGCAATAACTGGGTAATAACTACTAACCCTGAACCTACCCCTAAACCTAACCTTAACCCATGTAGTAACCTTATATTACCCAGTCATTTCTTAGGTGAGTACACTGCAAGTACACTTAAGTAATAATCAATAAATAATCATTTATAAAATGTTAATATATTAAGTAAAATGGGACCAACTTCATACAAACAAAGGTTGTGATTGGTAGGATTTTTATGTCTCTTATATTCACCAAGGCTGCATTTTTTAATCAAAACAGTCAAAAATAAGTAATATATTATACATAATAAAAATCCTTTTAAATATTATAATATTAAAATACATAATATACATAATATAAATCCTTTTAAATATTATAATATTTAATATTAAAATAACTGTTTTCTATTCTAATATATTTGTTAAAAATCAGGATTGTTTGATGAAAGGAAAGGTAAAAAAAAAAAATATTTGAACAAAATTTGAAAAATAAATATTTTATAACAATGCAAAAGTCTTTATTGTCCCTTTTGATCAATGCAATGCATCATTGCTGGATTTTTCCAAACAAAACAAAAAATTATCTTACCAACACCAAACTTTTGAACAATATTGTATATGTTTAATTTGTAATATTTTTGACATTTTAATAAATCAAAACATTTGCAACAAGGCAGGAAATGATGAAGATAATAGAGAGGAATGATATTCAGGTTTAAATCCACAACAGCACCGCAGCTCAACATGATGGAGCATGTACGCTAAACGCAAGGCCATGGATCCCACATAAGTCATTCTTAAAGAGCCACGCTGCTCTTCATGACCCTCGGGGTGGACATTAAGAGTTCTCACACTTTAGGTGCTGATTAAGACTCACTATCACCACTGGGACTCACACAAACCACAACTCAGCCACTGACTGGAGTGCATGCATAATTTATCACTGCCACACAGAGCTGATAGCATTGATCATGTGTGCGACCGTGAGGGATAAGAGCGCAGAAGCGGCATAAACAGAGATACAGAAGACGCTGGATCACTTCATCTAAACTAAGAGAGATATATCAAAACAACTGAGGAGAGGGCTGGAGAGGGTGAAGATTTAGCAAAAACAACTCCTGTCCTGATAAGAGATCTGATAGTGTTAGACAAAAAACTCCTGCAATTGTGATGAGCGCTGTAGAAAGACAGAGATGAGAGTGATATGGAGTGAGTGAGAGAGAGACATTGAGATTGAACAATATGAGGGACATAGTTGTCAAAAAAAAAAAGTGGTCAACAGGAGTTAAGATGCATTTACACTTGTAGTCCGGTTCTCTCGGTTCTTTTGATCCGGACCAAAAAAAAAGAAAATGATACATTTACGACACCTGTACAGAGCTTTAGTGGGCAACGTAACTCCTATGACAAGAAAAAACAAGTATGATTGAGCATTCTGTCCTTTTTAGGTCGCATTTCATGGCATCACATCCTGCTTTTGGTTCCTTTAGATGTCTTTAGTCTGCGTTGCATTCATATTTCGGTCAATCCGCACCAGTTTGTTTGGAAGAGGACCGAGACCCAACTTTTTAGCAGTCTCGGTTCGCTTTTTGGTGCGCACCAGGGTTCGGATGGCAGTGTTTACACTTATTCAAATGAACCTTACTAACAGAGCACCAGAATTTCCCACTGTAGTCAATCATTTTGTCCCTTAAAACTCACCTTTGATCACCAAGATGACATGTAAATGTTTAGAATGCCTTAAAATAGCTTGAATATAACTCACCGCCCTTGCCTTTAGTATCCGCGGTTCTATTAATATCCAAATTATCCCCGCCTCCACTCACTCACACCAGCTCAGAGATCCACTCGATGATGATCACACGTTGATGTGATTGGTTACAAGGGAGTTTGTGATGTCAGAAACACCAGCAATTTCAAACTGCGTTTTTGAGACTGCCCTTGGTTCACTGCAGTTTTGGTGTTGACTTATGAATTTGCGCATGGTTTGTCTTAAAGCAGATTAAAAACACCACGTAGACATATAAACAACTTTAAAAGCTTGATTTTCACCACAGGGGGACTTTAATAAAAGCAAACCTGCCAAGTGTGAACACCCTTAAAGTCGACATGAAAGGAAGTCTTTTCTCATGATAGTCTTTTCTTTCCTATTGTGATGTATATCCAAGTGAGACGGCTTCTTAAACAAAAACACAAAAAAAATCAATACTGCAACTCCATAAACAAACAAGAATTGTCCATTTTGATTTCATTGTGACTTTAATGTTGGATTAAAGAGATAGTACACCTATAAATTAAAATTCTGTCATAATTGATTCACCATCTCATTCCAAACCTGTATGACATACTTTTTTCTGTATATCAAAGGAAGTTATTTTGAGAAATTACTTCTTTTTTTTTCTCTCCAATAGAAGTCAAAAGTAGCTCAAACTGTTTGATCTGCTGGTCTTCTTTTGTGTTATACAGAAGAAAGTAATTCAGGGTTTTGAGCGAACTATGCCTTTAAGGAGTTGCATAATTGCCAGAAAAGTAATTGATGTCCTAAATCTTAACATAAAACAATCAGGCATCTACAAGGTTAGGACAACAATGCTATGCAAAAAGTCTGCTGAAAGAGATTGAGAAATTAAAATGCTCTAAAGGAGATGAAAATTAGTTCGCATTTGTGATTTAATGAACAACCATATAAATACAGTTGTAGGAAAATTCAGCAATCATAAACAACACGTGGATTTTGT